GCTGGAGTGCAGTAGCACCATCATGGCTCACCACAGCCTTGACCTTCTGGGCTTAAGCAGTCCTCCCGCAGCCTCCCAAGTAGCTGGGACTGCAGACATGCACCAAATACACCTGGCTAATTTTTAATTCTTTTGTAGAGATGGGATCTTGCTTTGTTGTCTAAGCTGATCTTGAGTGCCTGGGCTCAAGTGATCCTCCCACCTTGGCCTCCCAAAGTGTTGGGACTCCAGGTGTGAGCCACCGTGCCTGGCCAATGCCTGCCCCTTCTGTGGGGGGTCTATTGCTGCCCGTGAGCTGCGGAGATGGGGGAGTTTGTGTGTGTGTGTGTGTGTGTGTGTGTGGTCAAGACTGTCGTACTGACTGGCATCCTGTAGCCAGCTCTTTGTGCTATGGGGATAATAAGGGTCCTCAACGGACAGACAGAGCCCAGGGTTTGAGTCCTTTCTGCCACATGCCACTTTGTGATTTTGAGACCACATAGCCTCTCTGGGGCTCAATTTCCTCATCTGTGAATGTGGATTAAAAACTCTCCTGTAATGTTGCTGTAAGAATGTGACAAGACGGTGATGAGAAAATGCCTGCTTTCCAGAATGTGTTAATTGGGTGTTACCTACTTCCTTCCTCCACACTGAACTGACCAGGCCAGGTGCCGAGACCCTCCTGCAGGCCCCATGCCAGTGGCTCATCCCCGTGTCTGTTCACACCCCTTCCTTGGTGCTCACATCGGTTTTGTCATTAGGTGAAGGTCACATAAGTGGTTGGCAGCAAAGCCATCTTGACACTCCTTATCCCAACCCCAAGCCTGTGCTGTCTACGACACCCCCTGTTTCTTCTGGAACTCTCGCTGAAGTCAGTGGAAACCTTCCAAAGAAGTAGCTGAGAAAAGCCAAAAACAGACAGACCTCCCGAGTCACAGCTTGGCTCGTCTTCTCGCTGACCAGCAGGATGGAAAGGGAGCTCTCAGGGCTGCAGCCAGCAGCAGAAGCAAGTGACCCTCACCCCCAGCCCAGAGAGCCTACAGTGCAGGGGGAGTTGCAGCATGGGGAGCACAGAAGAGCGACGGAGAGCTGGAAGAGGGAGTGTGGAAGGAGGGCAGAGAGGGGGAGGGGGGACATGCAGCTGGAATGCCACAGGAGGGAGAGGCACTCGGTGGAGGGGGCTTGGTCCTACGCCTGAGGAGGCCCCTGAGGAGGCCGAGGGCAGTGACAGGGAAAAAGGCTGCAGAATCTGGGCCAGCTGGGATTGAGTGCTGTGCTTCCTGCTCACAAATTGCGTGACTTTGCCCTGACGGTGTCTCTCTGTCTGTGTATCTGTCTCGGGGTTGCTGTGAAGATCAAATGGGAAATGAGGTAACGTGTACAACACATCCAGCCCAGTGCCTGGGCGGAGTGCTCCCCAAGAGCCCCTTCTCTCCCCACCCGCCCTTACCTAGTCTGACTGCTCTGAGGATGAAATGAGACGCGGCTCTGGAGAAACAGGATTTACTCCGCGCAGATCAGTTTCCCTCCCGCTCCCTTAAAAACAGGCTCCCAAACTGGTAAAGGTTCCTCGTGAGAGAGTGAGAATGGAAGTGGGCGATAAATTGCCTCGTTTCACTCAGCGACTGTTTCCCAGTTCTCTCCTGCTACTGCTGTACTCTCGCAGTGTTTACCCGAGTTCTGGCGTACGGTTGTAGAAAATAGATCCTTTGATGGTTTTGTCGAAATATCTTGGGAGCCAGAGGAATTCGGGCCAAGTTAGTCATCCTTTGTGAAACTACAATCAGGAGGCGATGTTTATCTAGCCCAACCAGACCCTGTACTAAAATATATAGTACAATTAGATGTTTTTGAAAAATAGGGATTGCGGTTTCTCTGTAGGCCGGGGTTGGGCAAGTCTGCTCTTTTAAGAGTGTAATATGTATTCATCAAAATGCTGGAGGTGGCTGGCGAAATAGGCTTCGGGGACCCAAGTCAGCGATGATCACAGCCGTGCTGGGCGGGCAGTGGTGTAGCTGTGGTGGCCTAGATTAAAGTCTCCATCCCAGCACCATCAATAGAACTCTCCGCAGCAATGGAAATGTTTTATTTCTGTGCTCTCTGATGCGGCAGCTACGTATTTGAGCACTTGAAAGGTGGCTTCTGTGACTGACAAACGGAATTTTTGGTTTTATTTAATTTAAAGTAACTGAGATGTGGATTTAAATAGCTACATATGGTTTGTGGCTACCATATTGGACAACATAACATTATACAGATAGCAGCATCCCATGAGCAGCTGCTTCAAACAGGCGAGCCTCACATGGGTGCGCTTTCCAGCCACGTCCAGGGCTGTTTGATGTGACCTCAGAGAGGTTGCTCTCCACTAGCAAGTGAAACTGCGTTGATCGGGTGAGGACTTTGCTCACTGGAGGGGCTGAAGCAGAACTGGGAGAATTTGAAAGGTGACAGAAAAGGAGAGGGTGTGGACTGGGCGTGGTGGCTCATGCCTGTAATCCCAACACTTTGAGAGGCCAAGGTAGGCGGATCACCTGAGGTCAGGAGTTCAAGACCAGCCTGGCCAAAACGGCAAAACCCCATCTCTACTAAAAATACAAAAATTAGCTGGGTGTGGTGGTGGGCGCCTGTAATCCCAGCTACTTAGGAGGTTGAGGCAGGAGAATGGGTTGAACTCAGGAGGTGGAGGTTGTGGTGAGCCAAGATTGCACCACTGCACTCCAGCCTGGGTGACAGAGTGAGACTCAAATAAATAAATAAATAAAAATAATAAACAAATGGAGAGCGTGTGGTGCAAGCCACAGCTCAGCACTGGAACCTCCATCGGGGCTGGGAGTTTCGGTTCTTGACCAGTTTGAGGCAGTCTTGCCTTTAGCCTCCTCCTCACTGGATGTCCCTGGAGCAAGATAAGATGTTAATAGCTGGTGATAAAGAGACACAAATGTGGTCTCCAAGGGACTCATTGTAGGTTGGTCTCCGCCGAGACCCATGAGGGTAGGACTGTGTTGAAGAATACACGGATGGATGAGTACATTGGTTTTGGTAGCTGGTGGGTAAGATAATGATGCCCTAATGCAATTTGGTCTTCTTTAATACAAAAGGGACCCTTGTGCGCTCACACCAGCAGTGTATAGTGGTTGGGCACTGGGATCATTGGCTAATGGGAGAAGCCCGGCCTGGCTGATGCCCACTGCTCTTGTTTACCCTTCTCTTGATGGTTCCCTTCCTTCCCCATCTCCAAGCCCCCAGGAGATGTTCTCAGGCTGGGCCAAGCTGCTCATGTCAGAGAAAGTACCCACTTCAGCCCTGGAAGATGAAAAATGACCTCTTTTCTTCCCAGCTGATTTCAAGCAGAAAGCAATCGCCCTACCCTTGTCTTTCACCTCCCCTCTCACCCCACAAACAGACCAGGGGTAGGTTAGGGAGGTAAAAATCACTCCACTCACTGTTTGGAGGCCCCGGGTCTAAATGCCAGGTCTGCCAAGAGCTTTTTGTCTCCGGACAAATCATTTTCCCTGCCTCGGCCTTGGTTTCCCCATCTGAAAAATGGCAGGGTTGAAACATTCCTCAAGATGCGAACATTCCATGCTTAAAATAGATCCAGAGAAACGTGATTATCGAACAGGCTTCACTCCAGGCGGCATTGTCATTTAAAGGAGCTGGTTAACCCAAATGAGTCTCTAATTGACAGCCTGCAGGGGGAGCTCCCCCAGCCCGGCCCCCAAGCAGGGGGACTCCAAATTCCCTCACTTGCATGCTGCCATCTCCTCCAGCCCTAAGGGACAGGCACTGGAGGGACCCTTTGACCCGAAAGATCCTCCTCTCACGCCAACTACTTTTTAAATGCTATGTGCACCCGCAAGAAATTTCTGTCATTCCTCAACCTGCTTGACTCACGGAAGGGAAACCTGGCTGGAGAGCAAAAGTTCAGATACAAGAGGAATCCTGCGCCTCCAAACTAAGCTGCCTGGGAGTTCGAACTCATGACTGGGAGTCAGGTGGCCCTGTGCCAGGTCTCTTTATAGCAGCGCAGCTGTTGGCACCCCACGTGAGCTTTGGTTTCCTCCTCTTTAGAATGGGATAATAACCAGCCCTGCTGTCCTCGCCCGGCTGTTGTGAGAACCACGAGGGGTCGATGGCTGCACCAAATGTTTTGTTTTGTAAAACACTCTCTAACAGCAAAGTGGTGGCGGCGGCCTGTTCACGTTCTCCAGATACAAATATCTGCACGGTAATGGTCAAACGGCACAACACCAGCTTTCTTCTCCCAGTGCTGGAGAGGCTGTGGGATGAAACTGTAAGATGCTAAATCACTCCTGAGCTGTTTTAAGGATTAGGGAGAAATGTTAATGGCAACAGATGTCAGCTTGTTCCCTCCAGGAGGATTTAGGTTTCAGTGGTGTATTTCTCTGTTGGCCTCAGCCAAGACGTGGCCACAGTCCTTTCTGCAAATCCTGAGAGCTGCCAGGCCCACTTTCTGCCCTGAGGTTAAAAATCTGACTGGGAAACATTGGGAGCTGAATGCTGAATCTTGTCTTGGGAGTGCCTCAGGGTGACAGTAATATCCTCTAAGATCAGCTGATGCAAATTTTGGGGGGAATGAAATGCAGTCTGGAAATCTAGTTTTCTCACAGGGGCTGTGAACAGAGATGAAAGAACTGGGTTCTAGGCTATGTTTGGAGACGCCCCAAGTCCCTGTACAGTGAGATCTGGGTGGCCCAGGTGAACTGCGTGTGGTCTTGCAGATCTGACATTCCAGGGGACTGTGAAAATGGATAGAGAGGCTAACCCAAGGGTCGTTTTAGAAATTATCGAGGTTTCTCCTCCTAGCTCTTGGTGGTAAGGTGGCCACGCTCTTGGGAGAAAGGCTGTGTCATTGTCGCTGTCTGGTGCCTGCAGAGTTTCAGAAACACTGCAACAGTAGAGCAAATCCACCTCCAGGAAAAGAGCTGAGGGGTGTTCTGAGCCCCTTGGACAGGGGTCTGCATGCTGCCCTTCTGAAGGCTTCCCGGCTCCACACTCACCTTTGAAGGGGGACTGGGCTCGTGTCACAAGGAAGAGCCTCTTGCTCTTGCTCTGCGGCTCCTGGCGGACGTGGTAGCCCAGCGTGTTGCAGCGACCTTTCTTGCAGCTCAGGCACAGGCCCTGGCTGAAGCTGTCCATGTCCCTGCACAGGTAGGCCATGCTCTGCGTGCCGGCGTGCAGCAAGGAGTCAATGAACAGGTGCACCGATCGCTCGTGGGAGCATTTGATAGTCTGGGCGATGGCTGGAACACAGGGTAAGAAGGACATTATCATCCCTTAACCCAAAGCAGCCTCAACTCAGAGGATCACCTTGGTTCTCGCCCACAGGAGGTTAGCAGTAGCACACAGGACAGGCAGGGGTGGGCTGGTCAACGCGGACCCCCTGACAACAGCGGGATGTGACAACTGACGGAAACTAAGGAAAGGAGACCTTCTGGGTCACGTAGTGTCAGGCAAAATCCCTGGCACTGCTGGGATCCTGAGAGCACTCCTCTATGGCAGTGTGTTACAGCAGGCGTTTGAATAGGCACCCAAGTCACTAAGTAAATTCATTCAGAGAACAGGTTAGTGTAATTTATTATGTATTTATTATAGAAATATTTCTATCTACTGTGGGAGGAGGAGGCAGGTGGATCACGAATCAAAAGATCGAGACCATCCTGGCCAACATGGTGAAACCCATCTTTACTAAAAATACAAATATTAGCTGGGCATCATGGCACATTTCTGTAGTCCCTGCTACTCGGGAGGCTGAGGCATGAGAATCGCCTGAACTCGGGAGTCAGAGGTTGCAGCGAGCCAAGATCGTGCTACTGCACTACAGCCTGGAGACAGAGCAAGACTTCATCTCAAAAAAAAAAAAAAAAAAAAAAA